TTTTGCTTCCGACGACGGAAAGAGAAAACTTTCCGAAACGTTAAGCATTTTTTTCTTTGTTAGGCAAATTTTTATTACTGTAAACACAACTTCTGACAAGCAGCGTCCGTTTAGGTTTAACGCAGAAGTGTTTACAAAAAATAACTATTTTATTTTGTAGATTTTTCTTGCAGTGCAGTGGCGAAAAACCCATAAGGATTTTTTTGGATAGATGAATCCGCCACATAGGTATTGACATTTTTTACTCTCTAAACACTTTTAGAGCCCCCACAAACGCTCAGTTATTTATTTTTATTTTTATTATTAAAAACAGGCAGACTGTACAGGCCAGTCTGCGCAGTTTAACCTGTTACAGCCTGTCGGACACACACGCAATTTTATAGTAGAGTTTTATCTATAATGAACCTCAGTCCATTATGTAACTCATTACGGATTAATGTCCGTAACTCATTACGGACTCACGGCACATTTTTTCTAAGTAAAAATGGCCTACCGAAATACACATCTGTCTTGGATTTTATTCGCTTATGCAATAAGTAAAAACGCAGAAAAACAACGGTTACTTAAAGGAAATAAGTATTGTCACTTATAATATCACAAGAGCTTAAATTATTTTCGGAAATTTTTTTGAGGGCACGAATATTTTGAAATATTCGTGCCCGCAAGAAAATTTCCAGGAATAATTTAAGCTTGCGTGGTATTCGGTAAGAAAATTTCACACCTAAATTTGAAAAAAAAAATATTAATCCAACATGACATTTTAAAATAATTTCAATTTGTTAAGTTGGCCAAGGTATTGATGTTTTTGACATATTATGTGTTTTGTCATTTTTGTTTGCGATTCTGTCATTAAGCTATTACTAGTTTTAAAACGTCTGTACGTAGAGTAAGAAGTGTATAGCGAAATGTCGCGATTTGGAAAAGTAAACCAACAAGTCATTAAAGAAGAAATTGAAAATATAAAACCTAAAAAAATTCTAAAAAAATCATATAGATATATCCATCATATTTCGTTAAATAGAAAAATACCAGCTTTAGTTAAATAAAGGCGGCAGAACTATATTTTTTAGAACATGGCAATTTCGAAGAAATTCATATGTAGGTATATCTAACATATTTCCTTAAATAAAAATATTACCAACCTTAGTTACATCAAATGCTAAAACTCAAATGGGTAATATTTCAATATATAGACATTGTAGTTCATTCACATTATGATTGTAGATCTTATGTTTACCTTTTCAACTGTCAAAAAATTTCCACTAAAGTTTCGTGGCGCCTCGAAAAAATTTCCGGAAATTTTTTCAGTTGCCATGGTAACTAGTCAACATTAAAGCATGTTATTGGTTGAAAAGTAGAGGTGTGAAATTTTCATGTTAATTTGCTTGCTGATTTAACACTTGAAAAACAGGATTGGTTTAACTACCTAAGAATGAACGAGGAAACTTCCTTAGAACTACTGAAATTGACGTTTGGAATTGGGAATTGGGCTGGATGAGATGCGAGTGCCTTAAAGTTGCTAAACTGATTAGTTTTGATGCTTGGGCTTGTGGGTGCTCCGCACCCACTAATTTTCTCTCGTGGAGAAAAAAAAATGAGCACCCACGCAGTCGGCGCCCCTGTCACTGATCATGAATCTGATGTTAAATATTAATTATCCGCTGACAAAAAAGTAAAATATTATTTATTGTAAATACCACTGCATTAGAATTCAAACAGACACCAAATTCCCATTGAATTTTTCCTTGCAAACAAATTTGCCTAACCGACAAAAATGCTTGAAGTTTCAGGGAGTAAGATTGAGCCTGTTGCCGAAAGAAAAAAAAAAGAAATGAAAAAAAAACTAGATAAAATCAATTCTGCATAAAGGTATAGATATTATCTTAAAACTACCAATCGGTAAAATATCACAAAATGAAATTCTCCTTATTGTTAGTTCAAGAAGTAAAAACTTTTTAACATACTCTTAGAAATTCATATTCCAAAAGGCGTTCAAAACTTTTCTTTCTCAAACTTATCATCGTGTAAATTGAACCAAAACAAATTTAAAAATATCCCAAACCCGTTTCAGAGAGAACAAACAACGCCCCCGGATTAAACCATATCGTTTAATTTTATTTCGGTCTCGAGTTTGGGATAGAGAAATAAGGGATACTAATTGCCCTGCGACACTAAGCTTAAAAGGGATTTTAACAATATGTTTAGTAGCGATAAAAAGGTGTTTGCACACTGCCAACTGGGCTAAAATTAAAATTTTCTTCTTATGAAGGAAATTTATATTCGGTATTATGAAATCGTTTAGCAGGGCACTTTTTGTCACATACAATTTAATTAAAAAATAATAATAATCTATACAAATATATAAAATCCTTAAGTGACTCACTGCTTAATCACGATCCTGCTCAAACCACTCAACGTAAGAAGCTCAATTTTGGAATACAGGTTGATTCTAGGGTGTAGAAGTTCGATAAGAAGGGATTTTTCGAAATTCCAGTTCCAAGAGGGTGAAACCACCCCTCAAATATTACAATATTTTTTATTTAAAAAACGGTCAAGTTTCCGAAAAACCGCTTAAATACGTATAATTTATTTTGTGTTTTTACATATTTTAAGATTTTTTAAAAATGTATACAGGGTGTTTCGAAAAATCTGGTAATTCATTAATCACGATCCTGCTTAAAGGGCTTGACGTAAAAAGCTGATTTTTGGAAAATGGATTGACTTTAGGGTGTAAAAACTGTTCGATAAGTAGGGATTTTTCGAAACTCGAATTCTAAGGGGGTGAAACCACCCCCGAAATATTAGAATATTTTTTATTTAAAAACCGGTGAGTTTTTCGGAAAAACTCTTAAACACGTATATTTTATTTTGTTGTTTTACATATTTTAAGATTTTTTAAAAATTTATACAGGGTGTTTCATAAAATATGACCATTGAGTAATCACGAATCTGCTTAAACTGCTTGACGTTTAAAGCTGATTTTTGGTAAACGGATTGACTGTGGGGTGTAGAGGTTCGATAAGGAGGGTTTTCTCGAATATCAAATTCCAAGTGGGTGAAAACGCCCCTCAAATATTACAATATTTGTTATTTAAAAAACGGTTAGTCTTTCGGGAAAACGCTGGGACACGCATAATTTATTTTGTTTTTTTACATATTTTGAATATTTTTTATTTTACAAAATCGACAGGGGGGTGCCGAGGAAATTCTTCGAAAATTTTTGGGAGATTGATTTTGCTTATTTAATAATATGTTGTAGTCCTGAACGTGTAATTTACAAAACCGTTTCGTTTTTGCGATTTAAACTTTTTGTTCCAGAGATATTCGTTGTTAAATATTTCGGAAAACGAGAATTTTTTTTTGTAGATTTTCTCAAATAACTCAAGATCTGTTAGAGATATCGTTAAACGGTTTGCTGCAGTTAGTTCTCCGTAAAATTAACCATCAGTAGGTATATTTTAGTTGCAATCTGAGACTTTTCGGTTTTTGACAAAATCGACACGGCGATTAAATCATACAGGGTGTTCCAAAAAGTTGGGTAATTGATTAACCACGATTCTGCTTAAACTGCTTGACGTAAAAAGCTTATTTTTAGCCAACATCACAATTACAAATGATTAATTCGACGCGAACGAAGTCGCGGTACCACGCTAGTAAATGCCAATATTTGTGTTAATGGGACAATCTATTTTTACAGTTCCTATTGTTTCCTGAATGATACGGATTATATTTGGTTGGATTAACTACTGCAAACATTTATTTTGTGTTAGGTAGTAGAGTGTTTCTAACGTGAAAACCAAACTAGATTAAATGATTAAAAATAATAATGTTTACTACAGAAATAACGGCCAATTAACTTTTGGTTTTTAAATGGCACCCTCGGAATTTTTTGACTTTATTTGATAGAAAATGACACATTTGAATAAAACGACATATCACATGTCAACTTTTGAAATTCTCGCTTAAAAAAATTGTATTTTAAATTTCAATCTAGATTGCCGTGGCTGTGTTAAAAACACTAATAATTTTTAATCAAGGAGCCTTTTCTATGACATGGAGTAAGAAAGGGATATCACAAGGGTTAGACAAGATAGGGTAGATAAAACCAGAAGTCTCAGTAGCAAAGGTTATCTACAAAATACTTTAAATAGTTTTTAATACTACTGAGTGACAAAAGAGTTACCAAAATTACACAGCGGTGGCTATGAAGCATTAAAATGCTAAAGGTTGATTCTCACTATACCTTCTGTTTGTATTCCATATCCGTTCCGTATTTTTATTGTATTGACGCTATACTTCCGTTCCGTATCAGTTTATTAAGAAAGTTTTACTTTAAAAATGTGTATCTTTTGAAAAAGGTAATAGATTTAATTAAGAGGTGAAAGAATAAATGAATATCAGCAAAATTTTAACAGAGCTGGTACAAATGTAAGAACTTGACAACGCTGTTTCCGATACGCTTCAGTCCATCCGCCAAAAAAAATGTATGGAAGGAAAGGATATGGAACGGAAGGAAAACGGAACGGATAGTGTCTTATTTACTTACATGATATAATATTTTATGTAAACGGAAGGAAGCTGATATGAAAGGTATAGTGAGAATCGACCTTAAGAAGGCGCTCTAATACAGGATGAAACTACAACATTAGAAAACAAAATGGTATCACACAGAACACCATCGAAAACATATGGGCTCTTATAAAAGAAAAATATACAAGAGATATAATAATATGATGATAAAGTTCATATAATATTTATGATTCATATAGCATTAAAGTAAAAAAATATGATATTTCAATTCAATTCATTCCGAATTCCAGCATTCATTCCGCTAAAAAGTACAAGACGCAAAGCGATTTAAAATGGAACAAAATAAATCCTTGTCTTTTCTACTGCGACAACGGCCTCCAGAACACAATTGTCGCAAACAAATCACGAAGCGCAGTCCTGCGAGATTCGTCTCTTAAATAAGCGTATACAAAGGACATGCATTCGCTTACCTCCCAGATGAGTTTAAAGTCCTGCTGCTCCACCCTGAGCAATTCGCATGTCGTTTGCGTGACGACCGTCGTGTCCCTGGGCAGGTCCTGCAGGATGGACTCGCCGAACGTAGCACCCACGCCCAGCGTGCACAAAGTTACCGTAGTCTGAAAAAAAAAGGATTTGTCAAGAACAGTCTATTATTTTGAGCCACAGGCAAGAGCCACAAGTCGAACGAGTGAACAAAGAAGTTTTTGAACGAGTTTTTTACGCTATTTCTACGACTACAAATTAGCAGCAGACTCATTCAGTTTTTGCCAGTTTTGTGAAATAATTTGCGATGTAATGATGACACTTTTTTGACGGCTGCGTTGCGTTTGGCGTTTCAACTAAACATTGGAGGTTAAAAATGTTAAAATTGGCACATGTCGGTGGTGTGCAAAATGACACATGTCGTGCGTAAATCCTTAGCACACAAAAGTTTGCAAAACACCAATTTCAGATCGAGTTTTCCGTGTGTCAAACTGCATTTTCTAGACTATTCGTAGAAAAAAATAATTAAATACCTTGTAAGTAATTGTACCGGGTGGGCAAGGTTTGGTTTGGATGTCGATTTTCGTGTGTACGAAGAGTAGAGGGTGTATCAGTTTCGTCTGTTTTATGAGATTTCTCGTTTATGAGTAGAGATACAAAGTTGCAAAAAACGCTAATACACCACAATATACCAAAACACTTTGTAGGCGCGCGTTTAACTCAACAGTACAAGGTGGCGCCTCTCATACGCCGCGGAAGCTCCAAGGAGAATAGCAATTTATATCGAAATGAAATTTTGGCAGCATAATATGTAGGTTAACTGAAAGCATTTTATAGAAATATATAGAATTATACTGGGTGTCCCCAAAAAAAGTTACTTATCAAAGTTGTGTTTTTTTCAATGGAACACCCTACATATTAATTGAGTTTCGGATTCTAGGGAAAAAATTAAGGTGAGTTTTATTAGAAGCATATACCTAAAATCTAAGGATTTTGACATATTTCACATTTTGTGAAAATGAAGAGTAAATTTTAAATTTCGATAACAGCTACATAATTTTTAGTTGACCTTGTATAGCCTGATATTTAAATACAGTAACCATTGTATATTAAACCAAATTGAAATTTGACCCGAAAAGTTATAGAGGGTGAGACAAAATCAATATGGAACATTAGTCACTTTTAAAAGCAAGTTACTCTTTTATTTTACATGGAACACCCAATATATTATTCCGGCGTTAAATGGGGAATTTATATATATTCAAAATATTATTAAGGTTACCTACCCCTCAGAAAAAGATTTTCCTTGATATTTTAATTTTTATGATTTTACGTCAGTAGATCTTAATTATTTGAAAAAATCTAGGGGTGGCTGTGATATACCTTTTGTCAATTTAATAAACATTAAAGAATGTAGAGTAAAATACTCAACGGTAATAAAAAGATACATGTTTAAAACATATTTTAATTATTACAGAGTTAAAACTAGATATAAACCTATAATTATGTGACAAAAATTAGCTAAAAGCTCAAAAAATTCTAATACTCAAAATGCTTCCTTTCCTGTTAACTGCATAAAATGATTGTCTTTTCAAAAGGATCTTTCCATTTTAAAAGGCATATGTGGAGTTCTACCTCAAAAAGCAGCTACAATAATTTCTCTCATGTTGTCGACAATAGTTAACATATCCCCATAAAAAAAACAGACTAGATAAAATCAGGAGCATTTAAGTATTCTATTAATTGGTGAATGCACACTGCATTTACCAACTAATATAATCATATCTATTCTCTCTGATGTAGGATGTTTGCATTTTCGGCAACTTTCTGAGAAATGTTTTTGTTTTAACTGGCACAAAATGATAACTAGTTGTTAAAGTTGGACTAATTAGACAGCTTTGTTGAAGTACGTCAGACATATCACAGCCACCGAGATTTTATCAAATAATAAAGATCTGCTCGGATCAAAATATGTAAATGAAAATATCTAGGAAAATCTTTGTTTGAGGAGACCTTAATAGTATTTTGAAGAGACATTAATTCTCCATTGAATATCGGAATAATATACTGTGCGTTCTATTTAAAATAAAAGAGTAACGTGCTTTTAAAGGTGACTAATGTTCAATATTAATTCCGTCTCACCCTGTATAACTTTTTGGATCAAGTTTTAATTTGATTTAAAGTACAATAGTTAACTACTTATTAGGCTATACCTGGTTAATTCCAATTTAGGTAGCTTTCATTGTAATTTAAAAATTGTTCTTTATTTTTTGAAAATGTTAAATATGTGAAAAACCATCACGTCATATACTTCTCTTATAAAACTCACCTCTATTTTTCCCAAAATCCAAAAAACATTGGAAAACCATTTTTGGGGACACCCTGTAGAACTCGTATGAATCTCTTTGATGAATCAGACAGGTCTCTCACTATCAAATCTCTTTTCACGCTGTACTAGCTTTACCCGGTTTCTTCTTCTTTTGAAAGGTACAGGCTTCGACTTGTGAAGTCCCTGGATCCTTGGATAATCGGTCCCTGCTCGGGCGCCAAATTTGTGACGGTCATTCTCTGGAGACCTTCACTGACGTCAAGATTTCTTACGGTTTGTAGTTATGGTAAATATAGTTCGCGGGCGCCACATCTAAATTGTTTAAAGTGGTTTAGAGGCACCACTGTTGCCAGTACGGGTAACTTTTAGACAGTGGAGAATCCAGGAAGTTGGGGTGAAAGCCAGTAAGACAACAAACGGTTTTAAATAACAAATAAATAAATAAATAATTTATTAAATCCTTAAGACATGTTTTCTTTCTAAATGTATTTATTTAATAAAGAAATTAAATGCTATTAAATTAATTAAATTAAAATATATTCTATCAGTCTTAAAGCAATAAATAAGTTATTCTGAGGGGTGTAATAAATAATGTTAATCAATCTTAACTTTTAAATTAATTAATGAAAAGAAATCAGAGAGAAGAGTGGCCGGTTTATTTACAATTAAAATTACCTTGAAATATATGGCCGGCACAAACGATGTACAACCGAGATGATAGGTAGGACAGTAGACAGGACAGTAGGTAGGACGGTTGGTATAGGACGGTAGGTAAGACGTTAGGTAGGACGGTATATAGGATGGTAGGTAGGTAGGTAGGTGCGGTTATCAGGAGATACTGTTGGTTAATCGGTGTACGGTAGTAGCTCATAATTGTGGCGTGCGTCTGGCCTTAAGTATTACTGAAAAAGGGCTTTTGGGACTTCCGAAAGAGAGTTCGGTTAAACTTTGGCAAGCACCAGCCAGGCTTCTCTGCTAAAAATGAGGCAATAGATCTTTTAAATTTACACATTTGTTTATACAAAATCTATTCGCTAAATAAATAATTATTGCAAATTCCTTTACAGTAAAAATGAAGAAATATCTAATATTATTACTAACAAATAAATTAATTATATTCATCCATAGGATATATTACTAATTAATAACAATTAAGAAATCATCTTAGTCTAATTAATAATTTCATAGCAATGTGACAATAACTAAAAAAATATATTATTATCTTACTTACATATAGTATAGCCAATAAACAATGAATTTACATTAATATTGCAGTTTAAAAATAGAATAAACAGTTCCATTTTTATATTAGTAATAAACTATAAATTTACATTTAAATAATAAAAATAAAAAAGTATTTTTGCCACGGCCGGGAACTGAACTCAGTTCTCTCGCTTCCTAGCTTAAACCTTGAACCATTGCTCCACGGAGACCTGATTGCTAAAATATTAATAACGGTATATAAACGAATCAATAAAAAAATAGAACTTCTTTACAGTACATTCTCATCGGCGATCCGTACCACAAAATTGATAAGAAAACTTTATTTCACCTCACGTCACTTAGGCGGTAAGGCGCGGCCTCGGCGGCACAACATTAGCCGGATCTGTTAGTATATTATAAAGTAATCTAGAATATAATTTCTTCAAAGATATTTTTTTTAAATTCGTATACTCTCAATATGTACTACTCGCAACCTATGATTGAAATACCAAAAATTTACATTCCATGCAAACTATTCTATTTGTGCAAAATTTCTGTATTTTTACTCATAATCATTAACAAGCTCTTTAAAATACAAGAGATGCCCGTAAAAAAATGTTTTAAACACCTAAAGAAAACCGAAAAACATAAAGACACCTAAATTACTTTGCTTTTTGCGGATGAAAACTTGTTCGGCACACAAAGACGCTCTATGAATAATGCATGTTATATTTTGTTTTCAAAACTAGCTTCGCTACTTTCTTAGAAAATACTTTTAGAGCCAGATATTCTTCAAGCAGAAAATCCCGAAATAATATATAAAATTCGTTGCGGAAGTGTTCGTTCTCCGTGTGAGATTTCACCTCGCCTTTTTGAAGCCCGCTTAAATAATTTAATATCGGAAAGGATATTTTAAATTCTAAGACAATTCGGTTATACCTTTCCCGTATGTACAGGATGATGTAGAAGAATGTAGAATGATACCTTAAAGGTCGCCACCTTAACGTCATCATTCTACACTCTTCTTCTTCTTCTTATCACGCCCTCTCCTGCCGAAGGTTGGCGATCCAAATGGCAATTGTGGCTCTGGAAACTGCAGCCTGGAAGATTTCCGCAGACGAGCGTTCAAACCATCTCCTCAAATCTTTTTGCCATGAGTTCTGGCGTCTTTCTACTGATCTTTTCCCTTGCACTTTGCCCTCTATTATGAGGCGCAGTATTTCGTATCTACCACCTCTCATCACATGACCCAGGTATTGCATTTTTCTTTCCTTGATGGTGTTCAGTATCTCTTTTTGTTTCTGCATGCGCTGGAGTACTTCATTGTTGGTGATCCTTTGTACTACCCATGAGATTCGCAGCATCTGTCTGTATATATATATATATATATATATATATATATATATATATATATATATATACATTTCGAAGGCTTCTATTCTCTTCTCGGTCTGTGAATCCAGTGTCCAGCTCTCACATCCATAGAGTAACACAGAGAAGACGTAGCATCTGGCCATTCGAGTTCTGAGATCCGCACTGAGGTCTCTCTAAGGTGTTCTAAGGTCTTCTACACTCTAAGGTGTCCCTTTTTCTTGACCTTGCATCACGGGGTAATATTAGCTTGGAAAAACCTACCACAGGAAGATATCAATCATTTGATTCGCAGCATGCCACGAAGAGTTACAGAATGTCAAAAAACGTGGAGGTGCAACTCGCTACTGAATTGTTAAGAATTCCATTCAACAAATTTGTTTGAAAATTTGGTCGATTATTATTTATATTTATCCGAACTACTCTTCCCAAAATATTAATAAAATATATTTACATTTACTTACTACAATAATTTCTGTGTCACACAGTGTAGATTTGAAATTATTACATTAAATGTTAATACTGGATCATACAGTCTAAGCGATATCGATAGTTTGCACAGCTATGAATAATTCAAATCCAGACACTGAATAATTCACTTTATATAAAATTCCAGAAGAAATTACCTTGAACTTACTGCTTAAAAATGATATTATAAGAAATTAGTCGTTTATTTTATTAAGATCAGTTCTATAGATATTTATTTCAAATTTTTAAACATAAATAGCAAGCAATTTGATGTAAATTAAAAAGAAACGCAAAGTAAATTTTATAGCTCTTTTGCATGACTCAAGACTTAATGCAAAATAATCGATAATTAACTGGTACTTATTGCTATTATGAGCTATTTATCAAGCTTATATATACTGAGGTCTGATAAAAAATAATGAGTGTCTAGGAACTTCGAAACAAATATAATTACTAATATTTTTTAATAAAATAGGTAACTTTTTTTTCTAGTACAAGTATTATTATAGAACCTAGAAAAATGAAAATTATATTTGTGCTGTCGATAATGTTAGCATCTCAGGTAGATAATTTTTATATTTTATAATTTTGTTAACATTGGTAGTTCAAATATTGTGAATATTTATAGTGTAATAAAGAGTTTTGCTTTGGTATGAATGAAATCTGACTGACCTGATATTTTATTTCCATAAGAAAATTTTGTTTTTTCTATTTTGCTACAGACTGAATCTATAATTTGATACCCAATAAATATTTGAAAATAACTTTCTGTATTATTTTGACAGATTTTTGTAGATGCCGCTTCCAAGAAAAATTGCCCTGATAAACTGGACAAATATGTTAGGGATACTCTGAAAACATGTTATGACAAGAAAAAACTAGAAGAAGTAAAAATTGTATATAAAGAACTAGTAACATCAATTCCAGATTACTGTAACACCTTCAACTCAGATGACGTTAAAAAATGTGTTTTTTCTTTTATCGGAGTGCTTCAAAACCAACAAAAAGTAAGTATTATCCAAATTGCTGAGTTAATAAATATAATATATTAAATGAAATGGCGAATACGAATATACAGGGTGGCGCACCTCATTCGCCTTGGTTGATTATATGAAAACAGAAAGATGTAGAAACAAAATATTTTATGGGTCTATGTGGGAAGGCAATGTGCATAATTGTTCAAACCAAACCAATCCATACCAAAGTTACATTTTTTTCTTATAGAACACCCGGTATTTTATTTCATTTTTGGATTCTTGGACATAAAATAAGACATTTATTATAAAGGTTTAATATGTTTAAAAGCTTAGGTTTTTGAGATATTTAAAAATATTTAAATATGCATGCTGTAATAAAAAAGTTTGTCAACACCTCGTACATTACTTTTCAGAATTAATTCTTGTACTGACTTTGAAGCCAGAGAAATAAGCTTTACTAAAAAATTTGATTACTTCCTTAAATGTATACAGGGGTATCAAAAATTGCTCGTCTATTTTAAATTGAATAAAAATCGCTTTTTATTCAAAACCTGAGCCAGATAGGTATAGGAAACCCTAATATAGTTTGAAAGAGCATTTAAATCTGCTTCGACTTATTTTAAAAAATATATAGTGCTGTATTTTAAATAACAAAGTTTTTATGTAAAATAAATATTTAAAATAGACCAGCAATTTTTGATACCCCTGTATACATTTAAGGAAGCAATAATTTTTTTTAGTAAAGTTTATTTCTCTGGCTTCAAAGTCAGCACAATAATTAACTCTGAAAAGTCATGTACAGGGTGTTGAAATTATGCACATTGCCTCTCTACATATACCGATTAAAAGGTTGGTTTCTACATTTTTTCATTTTCGTATAATCAACCGAGGCGAATGAGGTGCGCCATCGCCACGTGCTAATAGCGATCCAGTCCAGCAATAATAGAGCGTCGGGCATCTGTAGCTCCTAGAATAAAACAACTTGGGAATTTCTTGGGAACTTGGGAAGTGCAGACCTAAAGTATATACTAGGATATATTTCAGGAAAATATTTTAACTTCTACATGGTCTTCTCCAACTCCCAGTGGATGACATACCAAGAATTTACAACTTTGAGAAACACCTCACTGTAGTATTGAGTAATAAAAAGGATTGGAAGGAAGAAACGCTTACTCAGCATATAAAAGACCATACCATAACGTGGTATACTGATTAGGGTGGAGCGAAAAAATGAATTTTATATATTCAGTACGCCTGACTCTGTAAAGTACGGAGAACTTTAAAATAATCATTTAAAAATTAAAACGGAAATTTTTCGACACCCCCTTCCACCGCCCCAACCCCTTCACTTTTATTTTTCACATTTTCGCGCTGTGGTGGTTAAAAATAAACATTAACGAAGAAAAATCATTTACAAAAAATGTTTGTTTTAGTAAGACAAGTATTTTGCAAGCTCAGGTAGTGTAAAAATAAATAAATAAATAATACATTTTTCTTTCACTTTAAAACTTATTGTGTTTTTGCCCGTAAAATAGTATACTTTTTATTTCAAAATAGTTTGTGCCATTACCTATAAAATATAATGACCTTTAGGACCGACTTTTATGGGCGAAAAGACAAGACGCCCACTTTTACAGATAACAGAAAAAGGGCAATAGTAGAAGAACATGTTGTGTTGGTAGAAGAACCCAGATCAAAATATATTGGTCACATATACTTCTGGATCTTATTCAAGTATATTAGAAGCTATGATTCAATTTTTGAAGACATTCTATTGCACTGGACGATCTGTAGGTCATCGGTTGTGATGGAACTAATACGAAAGTCGGAAATGAGAACGGAATAATAACCAGATTAGAAAGAAAACTGGATCGTCCTCTTCAATGGTTTGTTTGCATGTTGCATGCTAACGAGCTTCCGTTGCGACATCTTTTATTACATCTTGACGGTGAAACATCTGGTCCCAGGGCATTTAGAGGTCCTACTTTTAAGTAGCTGTAAAAAACTGCCAATTGTAAAATTTTCCAAAATAGACTTTGTGTTACCGAATATGGAATTAAGCACAGAACAAAGATATTTATATGACATGAGTGTTTCAATAAGAAGTAGAAATTGCTCTGAAGGGCTGTCAAAACGTGATTCTGGAAAATTAGTGCACTCTCGATGGTTGACTACAGTAAACAGAATTTTGCGCCTATACGTAGCTACGTCAAATCCTGATCAGAATTTGGTACCATTCTGAGAAGAATTCTCGATTTTTTAATAATCCGGTTTAAAATTTGACGCTGACGACTACTCTGATTTAATTGAATGACAAAGTCTGCGTTATAATGAACCCTCTGTAACCAGAAAGCTGACCGTAGAACTAATAAAAGAAGTGATAGAAAACCCAGAAGATTCATCTTTAGCACATCAGAAATTACTCTTGTCATAAAAGGAGGGATGGAGTCATAAGAAGCAAACTTAATTCAAGAACATTGATGCCTAAATTTGAATCATAAAAGAATTTTAAAACCAAATAATTGTTCTTTAAGCTTATGTTATTATTTTATTTTGTTTTGTCTTATTTTTCAATTAGTTTTTTCTTTAATACAAATATTTTCTTAAAAATTCATCTTTTATTACTTTGCCTCATGGAGATAATCACAAAAAAATAGTGCATTCAAAATTTTTTTGAGTAGAAAGTTATTGGACACTCAAGCATTATCATTTTAAAACAATCCGATTTTTTTAAAATTGGCTGTGGCGGTGGAGGGGGAAATTAGGGGGGAGTCGTAGAAAAAAAGTTTATATACAAAAAATACTACTTTTTCCATAATAAAGCTTTCTCATACTCAGGCGAGATCATTTTCAACAAAAAAAATCTGAAATTTTTAAGTTGACTGTGGCGGTGGAGGGGGAAATTAAAAAAAGAAAACAAAAATACGTGACGCCTTATTTTTTCATATCACAGCTATTGTCCGGTCAGGAAACTTAATTTTCGAAAACAAAAAAATTCTCACCTATATGGTCGCTCCACCCTAATACTGATGCTTCCAAAACCAAAGCAGGGACAGGGATAGGAGTATTTGGGCCGAAAACCAAATACTCCGAACCAATGGGCACCTACCCCAGTATCCTTCAGGCATAAATTTACGCTATCGAAAAACAACGTGTACAATTTATCTTAGACAAGGAACTCTCGAAAACAGGAAATTGCCATCCTATCCGATAGTCATGCAGCACTAAACGCGATCAACTCAGTAACCATCAATTCGAAGTTGATCAAAGAATGCCTAGAGAAGCTCAACAAAGGGCAAAGAAAATAAAGTCCTCCCACTCTGGGTGCCTGCTCACCAAGGGATAGAAGGCAACGAAAAAGCAAATTATCTAGCTAGGAAAGAAGCGAACACTCCACTAATTGGACCAGAACCGTTCTGTTTTCCAAGCGGAAACCAGCTGAAAGCGGAACTGAAGAATCTGGAAGACTCCAACCGCAACTTAGAATGGGTGTCTTCCAACGGTCTAAGACACTCGAAAAAGTTCCTCAGAACCTACGACCGAGAAAAATCAAAGGCTTTTCTTGATTTAAATAAAAACAATCTTCGGATTGTCACGGGGTTTCTAACAGGACACTGTCTCCTCAACGAACACCTCAGTAGGCTGAAGCTGAGAAACAACGGCAAATGCAGATTCTGTGGGGAATATGGGGAAACACCAGAACACCTCATCACTGAGTGCGCCGAGACGACGACCATTCGTGCCATGAACTTTGGTACGGCTGATGTCAAGGATGGAGAGCTGGCCTCTATGGAGCCGTCTCAGATACTGGCTTTTGTTAAAGCCTTGAGACTGTATGATGAGTTATAACTCGTTATAGCTCAAGAAAGGGTTACACACAATAGATCTTTAAGGTCGCGATGACTAACTCCCCTCCTAAACATTCTACATTCTACATGGTCACTCAAAAACGTGTGAATGGATCGGGATGATTTTTTTACATGGAACACCCTGTATATTATTGCATTTTTTGGCTTCCTTTCAGATCATTTTACACAATACTAAGATATGAGTAAATATATTTCGGTTAATATGAGTTAATATTAACGGTTTCGCAGATACTCACGGTATTATTTATTATGGTTCTTTCAACGGTAAAATACGAGAGAAAAATCCTTGGGCGGGTTTAATAAAAATTTACTATGAAATGTTTTATAATTTTTATATTTTATCAAAAACAATGGAAAAATGAAATAATAACGTTATTATTTTCTAAGGCGCCTTCTTAGATCTTTTCGCCTTTTAGTTTCAATAGTAAAATATTAGATTTAATATTTAATGATATTTTGTTCTTTCTCTTCTAGGCATCGACTATATCAAAAGGCTTGAAAGCCCTTTGGGATGGAGGCAGGACTTGTGTAATAGAATTACCCAGTTATGCTAAGAACTTGGAAGACTATATAAATAAAGGCTGTCCGTAAAATCAGAACCTTGCTAAAATGTCAACCTCTGTAACAAGAATGAATAAATGTTATTTATAATTCTAGCATTAGATATTTACTTATTTTCAACTTTGTCAGAAAATGAAAAATCCTTCATATTTTTTTGAAACGTTTCAGAAAAAATAAGGATAAGAAGGATAGGAAAAGAATATGACATACAAACATGCTTCAAAACACAAAATATACTTAGATCTATTTTAACCCACACTAAATCAATGAACACTGAACAACAAACAAGAAATGTAATATACAAAATACCATGTCAATGTGATAAGTGGTGAAACATACCATCCTGGCAAGCAAAACCTTGGGTCGGCGTTTATACAGGGTGAGTTTCCTAAGATGTTCTCTATGGGCATCTCGGAAACTACTGGAGATAGAGAGTCGGTTAAATAGGGAAAGAATTGCAGTTTTGTGGGGTCATAAATATGCGCCTTTCAGATTTTTGAAAAAGTTCATGGCTTACTAGATATTTCGAAAAAAAACAAATTTCGGCTATTTTAAAAATTGTTCCTAATTCCATTATAAGCTATTTTAGACAAAACGTTTTCAGATAAAAGTTGTAGATAATCACATTCCTAATGAGTTTGTGTTCTCCGATTTTTTATAAAACCTGTCATTTTTGACATATGACACAAACATATGTTTTTTTAAATGGAAACCATAGTTGGCTATGACTTCATAAAAAGCGCCATTTTTTAAGCTTTTCAGCAATATAAGCTATATATATGTTTCTTTCACAAAATTACTGAGTTATAGCCAATTCTTATCTTTCTTGACTAATTTCACTTAGTTAACCATGGAAACAAGTTCAATCGTCGTTGCTCTCAGAAATGTGAAATTGTGTCACATCCAATCTTTGTAAATTAAAATAAACAAAAATTGTAAATAAAAATTTTTCAAATGAAGAAAAGCGTGTAGGATTATTGGTTCAACTTTTCTTGGCCATACAGGATACGTTGACCGGTGAGAGTTACTTACGTTTTTTAGAGAACGGTTTTCAATGGTGTTCAAATTTTGTTGTGATTTATAACTTATAAAAAGACAAAATATGTTATTAAACGGCTCTTTATAATTTAGATTACACAAACTAAAACTCAAAAAAATAATATCACTACGTACACTTTAACTTATTTTAGAAAATGTTCAAAAAATCCGCAATTATTTTGAGTACATAAATGCATCTTTTTAAAACTGAATTTCTAGCTATTGTCACAGAACGACCGGTCGACTTAATTAAACTTCTCCTGTTCCGCCTCTTCGAGCGCTTCTCTTAATTCATAAGTTTTTTTTGTAAACCTTGTTGTTAACCATACTGCATAAAAAAATCTAAAATGGATAGGTCAGGTGACCGAGGAAACCCATGCAATTGGTCCACCTCCCTGAATCTACATAATTATAATTTTATTTATATATATTATATTTTATATTATTTTATAATTAATTTTTTAAATAACATTTCTTTCATTGTGGGGTGTCATTTTCTTTCATTGTTGGGGCGTCATAATGAAAGTCATGTTGGAACCACTGTATTAATGCGCGAGTATCTAAATTTATCTTTTCTAACATGTCTTGAAAACCGTTTTCTAAAAAATGTAACGTTCACCAGTCAACATATCCTCGAAACTGTATGGCCAAGAAAAGTTGAACCAATAATTCTACACGCTGTTCTTCATTTAAAAAACTCTTATTTACAATTTTTGTTTATGTTAATTTACAAAGATTGGATGTGACAATTTCACATTTCTGAGAGCAACGACGATTGAACTTGTTTCCATGGTTAACTAAGTGAAATTAGTCAAGAAAGATAAGAATTGGCTATAACTCAGTAATTTTGTGAAAGAAACATATTATAGCTTATATTGCTGAAAAGCTTAAAAAATGGCGCTTTTTATGAAGTCATAGCCAACTATGGTTTCCATTTAAAAAAACATATGTTTGTGTCATATGTCAAAAATGACAGGCTTTAAAAAAAATCGGAGAACACAATCTCATTAGGGATGTGATTATCTACAACTTTTATCTGAAATATTTTTGTCTAAAATAGATTATAATGGAATTAGGGACAATTTTTAAAATAGCCAAAATTTGTTTTTTTCGAAATATCTAGTAAGCCATGAACTTTTTCGAAAATCTGAAAAGCGCATATTTATGACCCCACAAAACTGCAATTCTTTCCCCATTTAACTGACTCTCTATCTCCAGTAGTTTCCGAGATACCCATAGAGAACATCGTAGGAAACTCACTCTGTATGTATAGGAGGGAATCGCTATGGCAATCTAGTAAGTCGGAGAGAGCAAAATTAAAAGGTTTCTATTACATAACTACTTAATCTGACGCTAGATTCCATGCGCTTGGGAAAATACTTGCCTTCTTCAGTACATCTTATTTTACTGAGCGTGTTGACCTTATTCTTGTACAGACGAAAATCGGCACCCAAGGCCTGAAATGCCGACCCTTATATAGACCCTTAAATGTTCGAATTAAAGAACTTAAAGTTCATTTAAAAAGGGAGAATTTCTAAAGAGAAAGTAAATCTAGATTTGTCAGCATCCATGGAACACAGGGCACAGAGTAGATTTTACCAACGCAAAAATTATGATGGAAGAACTGATAGCCCTTGAAAGAAAAATATTTTTTTTTTAATTTAATCTAATATAAATAAATATATTGTTCAGACATCTGTGGAGGTTAGTAATGTATGACTACGCGCGTCTTTGATTTTAATAGACACTTAAAATAAATAAACATAACATAACATAAGCAAAAATTAAAAACACACGAAATAAGACAACATAAAAATAATTGCAATACAACAACATAAAAACAATTACAATAGCACAACATAAAAATAATCACAATTATATAGAAAGTTTAAAGGATTTTGGTTTTTTACCTCAGTGAGTAATAATAATTATTATTAGGTAGTAATTGAAGACATGAGTTGATAAAGGTGGCATTTCGCATTTTGTTTAAATCAGTTTTATTCAGTATTTCAACATCCCTTTGATAGATCTATCCTCCAATAGACTCTAAATCTCAAATATAAATTCCATAAAGAATATCCTAGGTGACTACATGACACCCATTTATCCGCTCATGTCTTCAATAGTTAGTTACACGTATCTGTTAAAAAACAAAAGTCAAAATGAAATCTAATCAGTAATAAGAAATTATTATCAAAAGCCAATGTGACACCGTTTTTTTATTTTATCAAATAAGAAAAAAAATGTTTCAAAAACCAACTGTGTCCTTTTTTTGTAACGCAATAAATAAAATAATCATCCATGTGTTCCGTAGATAATATAGTACTAAATGAAGCGAGACACACATCGTCCAAGGTATTTCAATAAATCTGAACTTTAATTTCACCTTTTCGATGACACGTTGTACGTCAAAAAGGGTCGAGGGGATGCACAAGACACATAACTCCGTATACTGCAGAGGCACAACAACGAAAAAGACCCGTGTGGCATTTTATCTAGCTTGAAAAGGCGGTGAAGCGGCTAATGGTCCGGTTGAGATTGAAAAATGTGCGAGGGTTTTTCCCCCATTCTCTATTTTTCCCATTATTTTTACGCCTTTACGATCTGAAAGAAGTTATATTTGATGATATTTGTCTGTGGTATGAGACCCTTCATACCTTTTGTTTAAAATAGCTATTTTATATTGTTAACAGAAGAAAATACTAATTATTTATTAAGTAAATCATTAATTTTCAATGAATGAAGATTGAACAGTATGGTAAGATCTTACTAAAAACTTCCAAAAGGACATCCTTGGGGCCCATTGTATTTACTCCTTACTTCTACATGCGGGGCTTGGTAGAAGTGGACCGACTATCCCTAGCGACTCGTGGGAACACTATGAGATCTAGCATTAAAAACACCACCGGTGAAGCTGTGGGGAAGCCCACTAGCGACACTGGGAACATTACAAATGAAAGTTCGAAGGGACCAAACCCAAATAAAACTACAAGAGGGGCGTCTGACACTTGCTTACGTGGTAGCTTGTGTGCCACTCCACAAGTGGCACACAAGCTACCACCTTCTCCAGCAAGGGTTGGGAGCCTACCTCTAGACCCAATAAGTGACACAAGCTACCATTTTGTCTACCCGACCTGGGTCAACCAGGCGGGCTAGACGATCCTCTGAGAGTAGGTCTTAGCGGAGCAGAAGCATGGAGATACCTTCAACTGCTCCACGAAGGACTTGCTCCAGAGGAAGCAAAAGCGAAAACACTCCTCCGAAAAGAGGAGAGTAAAGAAACCAAGAAACAACCTGACTCATCTCAATCAAAGGGAAAGAGAGGGAGCGAGAACCTCTCACCTCTTCTCTGACAGGGAGGGAAAAAAGCCAGGATAGAAAGCCGTCCAAACCGGGAGGAAATCTGGGCAAGCAGGGACGTATCACCAGCTTTGCCGCTATTGCTGGACAAGTAAAAATGGCGGTGCTGCGAAATGATTTCCCAAAGGTTGCTCTGACCACCGACCAGTCTCTAGAAGAGGCTATACTGGACGAAGTAGTGGCGAAACATAACACATCGATGAAATGAAACATAACATATCGATCTACAAAATGTGGGTCAGCTGCGTTTTGCGGGGATACGCTTTCGGGTGGGCATGATCCTCATAGATTGTGTATCTGAAGAATCGGCAAATTGGTTGGTGGAAATCGCACCTAAGCTTAAAAATTGGCAAGGGCCGGAACTGGTTGCAGTGAAGAGAGAGAACATCTCTAAAGGGGCGGCCGTCGCGATCTTTCTGCCGATGAGCAAGGGGAAAGACACCACCAACCTGCTGAGCCTTATGCAGGGTCAAAACTTCAATCTAAGGACATTGAGTTGGCGAGTCATCAACTCGAGTGAGAAGGGTCATGGTCAGGTTCTCACAATAGGAATTGACCTCAAATTCAAGGAGGCAATAGAGAAAGAGGGACATATCCTCTATTATATATACGGTATAACACCGGTATCAGGTCTAAGGAGAGACCAAGTTAAAGAGGTGGAGAAAATGGAGACAGATCCTCCAGCTTCCACCTCACG